CGTCTTGATTTCCTCGAATGGTTACAATACGGAGAACCGGAGCGGTAATATCCCCAATAATCATTGGTTCAATTAGGCCTGGGGCATAAACGTGAAAACAAGAAACCCCTCCTCTCATATCTGGCATAAATTTTGCAACACAAGATTCCTTTAATACTTGTGAATCAAAACCAAGAATATATGCAAGCTGCTCGCTTATTTCAATTTGTTCTATATACTTCTTGTCGATAAATAATGTAAACCTATTTTTATGTGAGTGAAACTCAAAGGCACATGCAAATTTTGGTTTACGATATACTGTAATCCACGGTTCAAAGCCACTTTCACGAGTCAGTTCAATAATTTTTCTAGTTTCTATAGGCAATTTGTCAATTTCTGCTTTAACCATATCGTTGTAAATCTCTGTTTCGCTTCTCAGTTTAGGAATTTCGCCCTCAGGAATAATCACATGTTTTTCAGTTGTTACGTTTGTAGATACCTCTTTACTGCTCTGTACTAGTTCTTTTAATTTTTTGTACTCTTCCTTAGCCTTGCTTCGTGTTTCCTTTAATATATTGGTATACTCAACTTGACAATCACGCATTTTTTCCGAAAGTGTCTCACTTCCTTCATTAAGAGATTTATCTAGGCTTTGTTTTAAATTTTGAGGGTTAGTTAAACTATTAGAAGGTACCGCTAAACGAACAATCTCACCACTTTTCCAAACAACTGTTATAGTTTGTTCAGTTGTAGTCCCAAGTGAAGGCCAGGAATGAGGATAAACCATGACAGATAATCCAACATTCCATTCAGAATTAAATTTTAGTTTATGGGGTAATCTAACTCTAAAAGAATTAGTTCTATTTCCTTCGACATTAGTATTGGATGGAATAATTATATAAAAGGAAGTCATTTTTATTTTAAATATTTAAAATTTCATTTATGTATATTATCTCCAAAGAACAGAGTTAGCAGGTATCCAACTGTTATGTTCAGACCCATAATCTTTCCATTTTACGAAAAGATAATCCACACCATTTCGTTTCCTTTTTCTCAAAACCTTTTTAATGTCATAAATATTCTCATTCTTTTTAAGTTCTTCTTTAACGAGAATTAAATCATTCCCATAAAACCACCCAAGAATTTCTTCCCCTTTACGATCGCGAATTTTATAAGTTGGAGGTTGATGGGGAACCAATCGAACCTGGTCAATAATGAAAATTTCATTTGTAAAATTTGGTAGGTATCCTTTTTGGAAAATATGTTTATATTTTTCTATACGAACATTATCCCCAACAGAAAATTTTTTATTTCTCCAACTTGATGGCGCGTGTTTTGCAACTGCCTTTTGTTTTAAAAATAAACGCAAGCGTTCTGCATTTTTATAATTCACATCAATAGGTCTCATGTCAATACTAGAGTTAAAAGAACGATTAATGGACAAAACAATTTTCTGGATAACGTCTAACCATTTTAAAGTTTTATTCTCTGTAAAATAACGGTAAAGTCGCTCTTTGATACTACGATTAGCCCTCTCAGCCATGCCTGCATGCCATACGGGGGAAGTGAGCATTGAGAAGTGTTCCATATCTATTGAGCGAAAATATTTTTGTACAAATTTTGCAGTGAATTCTAATCCTTGATCTGTTAAAAGTTTCCAGGGTATTATTCCGACCCGAGAAAATAATTTTTTAAAAGCTTCGATCATATTAGTACTATGTTTGCTTTTTACTGGTTCAACAAATATTTGTCGGCTAAGTGTATCAATACATACTAATAAATATTTGTATCCACGATTATGTTTACTAATTTTATCAAAAACGCTAAGATCGGCCTGCCATTCTGTGTGCAAGCCTGGAGCTAGTGTTGGCATGCGCTTATACTTTCTAATTACTCTTCTATGTAATGTATTAACATTTTGGCTTGCAAGGTAATCTCTCACAATATTTCGAGAAATATTTTTATCTAATCGCCTGGCTTCCTTTAAAAGTGGTTCAACGGATGTAAAACATGTAGTCGAATTAACATTCTTGTATAACTTGTCAAGAATTTTAATTTTGTTTTTATTTAATTTTGCCATAATGATGGTTTATATGAAAAGGTGTGTTTAAAAAATCCTTCACCTTCTTGGTTGCTAGTTGAAGATTTCGAAGGAAAAAGTATATTTTGTAAAATCGAATGGCTATTTATTCTACGAATAAACTCGTCATAACCAGTAGGGATTGGTCTTTTGCGTTTACCTTTATTTTTAATTATATAGCTTAAAATTTCTTCAATATTACTTGTGACAAAGGATTCTTGAGTACCTAATCTTCTGGCTAACTTACCACTGGGCAATATGCCAAGTTCATTAGCATGATCTCTCAAATATTGACGAGCTTCTTCCTTAGGATCTGTTTCACTATCTGCTGAAAAGAATTCTTCACCCTCTTCATTCTCAATTTCATCAGGATTTTCTATCTTTACAGCTGGATTTGAAAATTTGATTCTCTTTCTTAATGTAACTTTACCAATTGAGTTTCTTTTGGGTTTTCTTATTATAATTTTTCTAGAAATTTTATTTTTAATCTCGTTTTTTGTTTCCACTGGACTTTTATTTAAATCGACATTTTTAGTTACGGCATCAGCAATCTCTTCAAAATTTTTGAGTTTCACATCAATAGGCTTCTCTTCTTTTTCTTTAATAAGCTTGTTATACCTTTTAAAATCCTGCTCGTAACGAGCTGCTCTTGTTGTAGGATCTAACGAATTATTGCTTGCACTACTGTTTTGTAAACGTTCTTTTATTAAGCCTAAGGCTGTCCCGTCTCCATTCCCATCAATTTTATCACTACTTACTAAACTTTCATAAAAATCCTCAGGAATTAATATCATTCGCTTCATTGTTAATTAAAATTTATATTATCAAATTTTATTTATATTATTTAAAAAATTTTTCGGTAATTAAAGGTAAAACTAGACTTGCAAGAATACCCGCTAAAGGATAAATCCCGTTTCCTTGTTGTAATAAACATCGTGTTGAGGAAGCACTTCTAGATCTACTGATTTTCCTCAATATATTTGCATGTTTTTGCAAATTAATAATTCTATTTTTATGAAAAGGTAAACGCCCCTTTAATAAATTAAAACAAATTTCAACGAAGCATAACAACTGTTCAGCGGATGCGTTTAATAATATATCATTCATTACCTTTCTAGATTTTTTAGATTCGCAAACTGAATTTAAGAAATTTACATTTTTCTCAATTAATTTGCTTGTAGAAATTTTTTTATTCATTTTGGTATATAAACTATAGTTTTTTCTCCCGTATTATAATATATATGTGTTCGAAGTCGTAAAAAGTCAGGAGTACTAGGATGTATATCGACTAACAAATATCCAAAGTTTTCTTTTGTAGCATTAGAATAGGATTCCAGAAAGTATTTTGATTTTGAAGGGAATAATTGGGTTGCAAGTGTTCTAATTTGCAAAGCTCCTGCCGGATTTCTCATTAATAAAAGATAATGAGAATTATTACGGGCAACTTTTAATTCTTTACTGAATAAATGCTGTGTTATTAATATAACACTCATTTGCCAGTTATGAGACCCTTTAGTGAATATTGTATCCAAAAATATTTGGTTCATCCCAACCATTAAATCATCTAACACTAGTAACATTCTTCCATGCCTTGCTTGTTGTTTTATAAATTCATTTCCCCCGTTAGGCAACCCATTGTGAACAATAACTTGTGTTTTACCTTTATTTACAAAACCTTTACGTTGCATATTTATAATATTAGAATTTAATTCACCATAACAATAAAAGACTAAATCAATTTGATTATGTTTTTCATTTTCATAAGTAACCATTTCCTCCAAATTTTCCAGCAAATTTTTAACCCATTCTGATTTTCCAGACCCAGTACTGCCGGATACGATCATAGTGAACGGGTGTTTAAAACGAGCGTGTATAGTATCGACTTTCTCAAATCCATTCATTTTATCTAATATAACAAATCAAATTCAGAATATTATATATAGAAAAATTAATTTTATTTTTTCATTATAATATTATTATTAAATTATGGAATTTTATAATCTCGAGCCTTGGGGTGTTATTGAAGATAATGAGTCTCAGGCAAATACAAATCAGACAACAAATCAGGCTAATCAAGAAAGCAAAGAGGCAAATAAAAAGGTACAAATTTTTTATAAATAAATTAAAAGCACATTTTCAGAATGAAATAGATGTAATTACACCTGCTTTTGGATTGCTTAACATTGTGGATGAAATAATCGAAGAAAAGGAAGATGAGGTTGAAGATGAAAAAAATCTAGATACAAGTGAGAAATTACTTCGTCTGGTTATAGACGATGATGATGAGGATAAACCATTAGATTGGACTGTTGAACCAGAAAATCCATTTCGTGAACCAACACCCCAACCACCAACTACAACCATACGACCTTTTAATGAAATAACAACTAAACATGTTCGACCAAATAAAGGCTCTATTCCTTTACTGGACTATCTTTGCGAAATAAAAAACTGTTCACTTAAAGAACTACATGTGCTTTTTCATAATCTCGAAGTTCGGCGCGAACTTATAGAAAATTTGCAACAAAATGTCCAAATACGTACTTCTCATCTAAAGCCGAGTTGTAAAAATTTCAACGTCTATTGCCATGATTTAACAGCGCAATCTGCAAGTAATGTTCTAGCTATGGGAGGATATCTTGGAATAACGGTAAATTAAGATTAACTTTTAAATAAGATTGTATTTTTTAGGTTCGCGGGTACTACTACGTCAAGCACAAACTCAAACTCTGCCACCCATATTTACCGTGCCTTATACAATTTGGAGGAGGACACCATCGATCATTTTACCCGCTTGAATGTCTCAATGTGATCCGTCACAAGATGAAAGGAGGATGTTCATAGAAAGATATTTAATTTTAAAACTTTTAAAAAGCTTTTAATTTTTCAATTATTTTATTTTTAGTATACATAAAATATTGTATTTTTTTATTTTTGAAAAGTAAATATTATGCAAATCGAAAATTGTACTGCTGTTTTTAAACTTCTCCCTTACAATAAACGATTTTCTTATGAAAATTTTATTCAACTTGCCCGCCACGGGATAAATACAGAATATAATCCTCGACGATTCCATTCAATAATTATGCGAGTTCGGCATCAGGAATATAAAACTACGGCGGCACTTATTTTTCAATCTGGCAAAGTTGTTCTCACTGGTGTTCCAACCCCTTCTCTGGCAAACAGAATGGCTTGGCGTGTAACTAAAAGAATCCAAGCTTCATATAAGGCAACAGGCAATGACTATTCTTATTTAAAAATTGGTGTGAGGAATCTTATCGTCACAAATATTGTTGGTGCCTATCGACATCCAAAAAAGCTGGCAATTGAACGACTTTATTTGTATCTTCGGCAACGACAAAATATAACTTGTTATTATGAACCAACAATATTCCCAGCACTTCGTTTTAAAATAAAAATAGAAGCGAGGGATGGAGAAGTTTCCTGTCTTTGTTATATTTCAGGACGTGTAATACTGACTGGATTAAAATCTCAAAAAGAAATGGAACCTATTTTTGAAAATGATATATTACCATTACTTGAAAAATTTCCACGATTATAAAATTTATTTAAAAAATAAAATATTTACAATTAATATCAGAATAATTTTTTGTGGTGTGGTAAATAAAAATAAAAATTTTTTTAACAAAATTATTAATTAAATCTATTTAAATAATCACGATTTGTCCAGTTTGCTGAGCCTGGAACATTTTCTAAATTGAGAATAGAATCGTCCATCAGACTAGTTTGTGGTTCAGTATTATGAAGTTGTTCATGTTGTTTGTCTTGGGTGTCCATGATCACTTCCAGTCTGAAGTTTAATAATTAATTTACAACTTATCAAAAAAAATACCGGAATTTCTCTGTATCCAAACGGAAGAGTTTCCATCTCTGGCATTATTCTCCCCTTCTCATAATACGGTCTATATTGTTTTGTTGTCAAATGCGTGTAGAGCTGTGATCGTCGAGTTCTGCCAATCTGAGGGAATTGCACACATATTGAATTGCCATTTCCACCAGTCCTGTTAAAGATGTCATCAGCAAGCGCTTCATCCCTAATTGAAAAATTTGTTTCATTTAAGTAAAAGTTTTTAATTTACATTATTCCATCAACATTAAACTGATCAAGCACAAGTTCCTTCATGCTCTCAAAGTTGAGTAATTGATGTGTGGCATAAGAGAGCGGGAAAGAGCGGATCTTAAGCTCTGCTCGCTCATCCATCCCAGCATTTGCATCGACGTGTCTGTACCCATAGTTCTTTGGCCCTCCAGCAACAAATTCCAAAATTCGACGTGAAGGAATTTCACGTTTCATTTTCCCAAGTGATTCGCCTTCGGGTACACGTGGACCACCAACCTTCCCAACATAAAGTAGGGAATCAGTGTCGCAATACAAAAGACGGGCGCCAATTTCATGAACTTTCTTCATATAATCGTAGAGATGTAAACGAGCATACGAAGTCACAAACGCTGCTACAGGAATACAGTTGGTGTTGGGTGCTTTGGCAAATTCCGCCTTTTTCCTGACTACACAGCGATCCAAATGCTCACTAACATGATCGAAATCGAGCATTTCTGTTGTCGGATCTTCAAATAATTGATGAAATTCTGCTGGTGTTGTGGCGTAACGGACTTCGGTTCCACAAACACGTTGCGCAAGCTTACCCCAAAGTGAGTTTGCCAATAATTTCTAAAATATTTATTTAATCAGACAATATAATTAAATATACCGCAATCATTCGAAGGCCCGGATTCTTTTCAATACGATCTGGATCCAAAGCAATACCCTCAGTTCGTTCAAAATCTAGTAGATATTCAGCTCTATCAATTTGAGTTACACAACCATCCGGCCAGCCACTTGCCATTTGCTTTAGCCCCACAAATGTGTTTACATATGATTGAAAAAGCTTGTCGTCCCATTGGTCATAGTTCCAAACCTATAATTTTATTCAACATTTTAAATAAATAATTTAGTAACCTCATAAATATCCACGACTTTATAGCCGTGTTCCAGACCCGCATTCAGCTCAATGTGTGTGTAGCCGGTCAGCCAGGAACGCTCACGATTTGAATGGGTACAAGGCTGTTGTTGTTTATCATCGGCGCATTTTGCACAAAGTGGAAAGGTGAGCCGGCCATCATGGGTTCGATAAGGTAGAAGAGGTGGAAGATTTCCTGGCAAGCATGTGGGTGGTTCTATTTTCACAAGAAGTAAACCCTTGTAGATGTTGTGCTCTGGAATTGTCCAGGGCAAAGGGTTGTTGTTGTTTGATGGAGCAAGCAAAGTTTCACGAGTCAAAACGTGAGGATGACCGATTGGGAAGGGCCTTGACTTCATCACATAGGGATAGAGACTTACCTAAATTTTAAATGTTTAAAATTTAATGAATTAAAAAATTACAATATCAATATAGATAATTTCCTCATCTTCAGCACAAATGTGATGTAGTTTGAACGGCTCTGTCCTACCACCCCTCAGACAATCCTCCCTTGGATCAAGAGGTCGCACACAATCAATTTCAAGCCATTGATGGCGCAACTTCGGATTATTTCTTAATTTTTCCATCATTTCATGTCCCCAGATTACATGAAGTTCAAATCCGTGCTGGTGTTCCAATTCCCAAAGACGTTGTTGTGTCCTTTCATAAAGTTCTTCAGCAGTACGGCCAGCGGCTAAACGTTGATCCCGACGAGGGAAGCATCTTGGACAGCCTAAATTAAAAGTTTTTACAAAGAAAATATATTTTAAAGTACCGTGGAAGTAGCAACCCATGTATTCAATTGCTAAAGGGCGTTGTGGGGGAGATCGCTGCCAAAGACCATCCAATCTATACCCACAATCTTCCACATGTGCTTCGCCCAATGCCCATTGTGCATGCTGAATCTTTCCTGCTGCTTCAGGATTTTGTTGTTCGAATAAGCGGATGTATCGCTGCGATTCAGCAGAGGCACGTCTTCCTCTCAAATAGCCTCCCTCAGGCGAATGGACTATCCAATTTTCAGTCAGGAAACAGCGACGCATAGTTGTAAGAGCCAAACCAGCAATTGTTGATGCGGCTAGAAAAGGGTCCAACTTTTGCGCGTGCTGGCCAATAAGATGCCGAAATCGAAGAACTCCTTCACGGAGAATAGCAACATCATTAGCACAATATAGAATAAGTTGTTCACGAAGCTGGAAATTAGTTGACTGATCGCTCATTTGTTGTTGATACCACTCTAAAAGCGATTCTCTCTTCACTGAATTTTTATATTCAGGCTGATAATAATGAAGTGCAGGAAGTCCTCTAATTCTTTCATGAAGATGCTGTCTTTTTACAAAAAGATAGGGAAAGAATGGCTTGGATGTTGCTACTTCTTCAGGTATTGAGAAAATTTTCGTTAGAGCATCAAGCTCACAACTGAAGTAATTAAGCGAGTCTTTGAATAAGACTTTTCTTTTGTGGTTCCCAGTTAATTTCATAGAATATATTTTAAGTCCTGTTGTGCACAATCTTGTTGGTGGTTGGTTTCGCCTGTGTAGAGCTTCAAGAACTAAGTGAAAGTCATATTTGCCACCATTATGGGCTATACAAATGGTTAACATTTGCTGCGAACCATGATTAAGAAGATAATCAAGAAATTGATCCACAGGGCTTTCATTGGTGTTGTCGAAGGAATGGAAAAACATACGGCGAGGATTAAACGAAATTCTATTTGGAAAGGCGGTGTTGTCGCCAGCGGCATTTTTAAAAGGTGGTGAACACCAATTGCGCCATCTTTCTCCTCGGGGCTTTCCGCAAAAGCATCCTACGGCACGTTGGCCTACATCTTCAATTTTAATTCCAGCCTTTATACAGTTCTCACAAATTATCTGATTAAAAACTTTTATTAGAATAAAAATTGAATAAAAATTTTATTTTAAAAATTAAAAAATTTCTTTAATTACCTCGGCAATTATAAGTATTGGAACATGTTTATATCCATTAATATTGCAGCTAATTTGTATATTTTCATCCTGGCTGGTTTCAGCATCAAAAAAGCATAAGCGAATTGGAGATTGTCGTTTCTTTTGTGGTTGTTGATCTTCTTCATCAGAATCTTCTTCAGCTTTTAATGGCTGAATATAACAAGGTAATTCCTCTGTGTGAGGCCCCCGACATTTTTTACAAATTAAATTTTGTTGTTGTTGTTGTTGTCGTCGACATTCATGTTGTTGTTGCCGATAAATAATAAGATGACATATATTACAAATGCGTCTCATTTGACAAATGGAAACAAAAGTACGGCTATCACATCTAATAAATTCTTCAGGTGCATCATTTATTAAATGGTAATCAAAACAAGAACGATTAGGAAAAACAAATCCACAGTCTTGGCATAAAACTTTTTCAGAAATCTAAATTTAAATTACAATAAAAATAAAAATGATATTACCTGGCAAGGGAAATTGACACCTGATCTCATGCAAAATCGGCACACAACACTGCATCCCGACCAGTGAGTCCATCGGGTGTAAGAACGCTCACAGTCAATACAATAGCGTTGTACAGAGAAAAGTTGTTCAGGGCGTCCGATAAAATGATAATGATTATTTTCAAGCAGTAAACATAAATTGTATCGCGCTGCTCTTCCATCGCCCTTGTAGACTATTCTATATTGTTGTTCCTTTTGGAAAACAACAATACGAACATAATATTCATCTTCAAAAAAGATGTTTAACCAGCGTTGCAAGATTGCAACATGTTCCAGAGAATATTCCTTAAATTAAAATATTTTAAATTATAATATTGTCATATTTTTAAAAACTGATTTAAACAATAAAAAATACCATAAGTCCAAATGCAAGTCCTGCATTTCGCATTAAATTTTCTACTTGGAATAAATGTTGATGTTGTTGTTGGCAAAATTCTTTAAATCTAGCGGGTCCGTTGGGTATGCCTTGATCCATCATCCTAATTTTTGCCAGTCCGATAACTACTGCACGAGCAAGGCAGTATCTGTCGTTAGGATTGTGGACGCGCACAATCGATCGGCACCGGGACGATAAAACATGGTCGGATTCCAAATCACAACTACCTGTAGGAAAATAGCAGCCTTATATTTAAATAAAAAATATAAGACTAGTATCGACCTACCAGATCGGGCATCGGGATTATTTGTTCGTTGTCCATCTAATGGCCACACGCCGACAACTTTTGTTACTGTTGTTCCGGATAACAAATCAATTCCGGCCTGAGACATTTCGTTCAGTCGTTCAATTGCTGCGGCCAAAGCGGCAGGATTATTCTGGCCAAGTGGTCGAAGTGGAATTGTAAACGGGTGATGGAAATTAGGTGGTTGCACCTGCAGACCAACCCGAAGTGGCGCTGGTCTTCCGGCGAGCACCCGATCCAAAAGTTGTTCAATTAGGCTTGTAAGAGCCAAATCTGGGCGCGGGTGGTCTTCAAGAGGATTGAAACGTATATGGCAAATTTGGCCATAAGTATTACGAGAGCGAGAATTGAAATCAGTAACACGCTCGATTGTGAAGTAATTGTTCATGTTGATGTCCTGAATTTATTATCGTATTATTATTAATTTTAATCTTTATTTATACAAACACAAAACGCTCAAACATGCACAATTGTCACATATATATCAAAACTATTTAGCTTGTTATTCCCACTAGCGAGACGGTGAGGGGTTAACTACTTAGTCATAATTGATACTAAAAAATTAATTAACACCATTTCATAATATTTACTTAAAATTAATTTAACGACAGTCGTTTATTAACCATATTTATCTTATTACTCCGATTAGCGCAACGGTGCGGGGTTAACTACTTAATTATAATTGATACCAAAAAATCAAATAACGCATATTTCATAATATTTACTTTTAACTATATTAAAAACAATTAAAGGCTGAAATATTTTGTTTATAATTTAAGGCAATGGATACTTAGAAGAAAAATTAAGGCCAAAATAAAAGCTTAATTTAAGTCAGTTACAAAGTTATAAAATAATAATAAATTAAGATAATAAAATAATATTTAAATAGAAGCAAGATATTTTGGGACGGACATATCGGGATTTTCTGATGTAAAATAGTAAATCTACTAATTTTAAGAACTAAAGCCACCAGGATTGGATAGTAATATTCTCTATTTATTCGAAATATTTTTCCTTTAAGAACCAACTTAACCGTGAAAAAATGTTATTTGTTAAAGCAAAACCAAATATGCCCGTCCCCAAATGTTTTACTATAATTTCAGAGATTATATGTAAGGATTATTTCAAAATAGTAATATTAATATTTAAAAAGTAAGAAAACATAATTTTAAATTATAAAAATAATTTATTTTTTAAAAAATTGTATACTTTTAAATAACCTAAACATGCCCCTTAGATTGAAAATTCTGAGAGTCCAATACAAACACAAAAAATATTTAAAATGTTGGACTACTCGTTATTTTCAACCTGGGGAGCCATATCCTTTCGACATATTGTGCAAAAACGATAATTACGTGACAAATCCCAAAAACAAATTTTGTGAATTTTATGATTACACGGTAAAACGATTACACTTTGTAATGCGGTAAAATCTCGGTTACACGGACCACATGATTCTTCCTCAGGATTGTGAATGTAATCCTCTGGAAGTTTAATACGAGAGGCCATAAGAGCATTCCGTTCACTTAAATTCAACCCCCCAGGTGCCGAATATACATCAACAATACGTCGCTCCCCTCTATACATTTGTGCCAAGTGACTTTCTTCATCGTTAAATACTGAAGGTTCACTGTAGATTAAGGGGGGTGGGGTACGGCCGGCAGTTCGCAAAATGTTTCGTAACTAATAAAAAACACAATATCACGGACAACGCATTAATAAGACAAATATTTTTATTTTAGTAAAATTTACTTGAATTGGCTGGTTGCTATTAGAATTTGCAAATTGTGTAGGCATACGCTGAAAAAATATAACTCTTAACAATAATTTAAGTGTATTTGAATTTTTAACTTAGAAAATTAAAAAAAGCATTACTTGATGGGAAGGAGAATTCTGAGAAGTTGAATTTGTTGGTGCCAATTCATTTAAAATTTCACTAGCAAGCTGAGGTGTTTGCTGAAATTTTTTGTATTTAGTGATTTTTAAATAAAAATTATTAAGTATTTTTCATTTATAAATAATAAATTTTTAATAATTCAATTTTTTTTTCAAATAAAGAATTACAAATAATTACTTGAGGCGTATCATCTACCACCACCAAGTCATTTAAATTTTCAGAAGCAACTTGTCGATGTTGATGCTGAAATAATTATTATTGTTGCATGTATTATATAAAAATTTTAGAAAATTACAAAAAAAAATTGTAATTAAATTTTGTTAAAAATATTATTTGTTAGCATACTCTTAAATAACTGGCAATTTATTAAGAAACATCGTTTTAAATTTAAACGAAACTGCAATATTCAAATTTAAAAAAATAAATTGATTTAAATATGAATCCCGTTAATTGAAATTTTATTGAATCTAGCATTAATATTAAATACTTAATTCGAATAAATTTAAGCTAATATTTTATTTTATATTTTTTATAAATTTTTTAATTTAAAATTAATTTAATATTAGCAATTTCTCATCAATTGAGTTTAAGTACAATATTAATCAATTCGATTATGTATCATATTACATTTAAAATTTAAAACTCAGTAAAAACATTTTAATCAAAATACTTAGATAAATTTCAAATTGGCAAAAGAAAAAAAATTTCAAATAATATTTACTTTAATTCAATACTAAATTTAATTAAAATTTCTAGTTCAAGTGAAATTTTTAATTCAAATTTTAATTTAAATTCTATTAAATTTTTAATTCAAATTTTAATTTAAATTCTATTAAATTTTAATCATTTATTTAATTATTTTAAGCAAATAATTTAATTAATGGCTAAATCTTCCTTCAATAGTCATTAAATAGTAAATTACAAATGAATATTAATAAGACAAATTTATTAAAAGCATTTTCAAAAATATTTATTTAAGCAATTAAATTTATAATTGGAATATAAAAAACTATTCAAATTATATAATTCAATGAAATTTTATTTTAAGTAATATAAAAAATAAATTCAGAAATTAGGATGAAATTAAATACAGTTGTAAAGCAGTAAAAAGATTATTACTAAATTTTACGAGAAAGAGCATAATAAATTATAATCGAGAAATTCTAATTTAATAATTTTTTAAATAATCCAATGTATTTTTTAAAATAAATATTAATAATAGATTGAATAAGGTTAATACATTAGATTTATAATTGAAAAATTTAAGATTTGAAAATTTTCAAGTCAACCTACATATTCAACTTCTTCTTCCTCTTGGGGCTGTTGATAAATACGGGCGGAACTTGAAGGCCCTTGCTCAGTTAAATTACTTTGTTGTTGTTCAAAATTTCCGGCGTTTAGTATTTCAATTGTTGAGGAGCTAACAAAACGCAATTTTATGTCCACACTTCCAGACCATAAATGACGAGCTCCTGTCTCGGGAACTACAATAAGATTGCACAGCTTAACTCGCTAAATTTTAATAAATCAAATTTTTTTTAAATTTAAAAAATTTACATGATTTATTTTTGCACCTTCTAATCGGCTCGCATTTTGTTTCCAGGCAAAAACACATATCTTCTCTATTTCACCAGCCTGGCCTATTTGGACATGACAGTCACCGCGGTCCCACCCATTTTTTGCGGTGGGACCGCGGTGACTGTAGACCACATCGCCGATTAGCTCGCTTTAAAAAAAAAGTTTTTGTTAATTAATTTTTGAATATTAATTTGAAAAATATTTAAAAAATAATATTTTTATTTTCAAAAATTACCTAAACACTTGATCTTTCTCCCACGGTAACATGAACATATCTGTTGCAGTACAGCCAGTAGTTTCATCTAACGTTATGAATCTGGCTCCTTCAGGCTGATGGCCAGTAAATCGATTCTGCCGTTTTGCAAGAATCTATTAAAAAATTTTTTAATTAAAAATTTTAAATAAATTAATTACTTTCAAATTTTTTTTAATTTTTTAAAAATTAAAATTTAAAAAATTTTAATTCACCTAAACGTTCTAAACTTTGTTGGTTTAAATATTTTATTTACCTGCGCAGCTATTTCCTGAGGCATTCGATCCGCTTCTTCAACAATCTTTAAACAAAAAAAAAATAAAATTTTTAAATGTAGTATTTTTTAATTAGTTAAGAATAAAACTAATATAAAAAAATATATTTTTTTTTCTAATATATATATTTTCTTTAGGATTTTACAATATTACAATACCTGAGCTGGAGCTGCGGCTACAGGCATTGGCATTGGTGCCGCATTTGTTGAAGTCATTCCCTCAACCTTTATTATTAAAATTTAAGAAATTTTTTTTTAAAAATTAAACAAATTTTGTTTTTCTTTCATTTAATTTAACCATGGTAATTTAAAGTTTTTTTAAAATTTTTTTTTAAATTAAATCAAATTTACTTGATTTTGTTGTGTTGGATACAAAGACCACATCTGTTCACTTGCCGGAACCTAAATATGTAAATTAAAAATTGAACAAGAGAATTAATATTAGTGTCAGTTTTAGGACATACTTAATCTGAAATAGTTCGACAAAAACACTGAAAAAAATATCAGGCATAAATTTCCCGAAAAAATTTACAAAATAAATATATTTTTACATTTTTAGAAAATTTCTTAAATCTACCTGAGATTCAGGATTTGTGTTTAGTGTTGCATTTGTTAAATCCTGTATTTGTTGTTCTTGTAATGATTCTACTGGTGGAGGTGTTGGCGAAGTAATTATTCTAAGCTGACGTCGAGGAGGTCCCGGACTCTGTTCACTTGTTGGGCGCTTGCGGTTTGTTGAATTAGAGCTTGTACGTGGCATAATTTTACTCTTCTGAAATAATAAAAGTATAAATTTTAAATTAATTAGATCAGACTGGAACATGGGTACAGTATTATAGAAATGCCTGCGGATATCCGTCTGTATCCGCCGTAAATATCCGGATACCAAAATCAGTATCCATGTCTAGTCTGAATTAAATTAAGCGATTTTGTATAAGTAAAAAATTTTAAATAAAAATAATGATGAAAATATTTTAATGAAAAAGGTTGATTAAATTATTTGTTTTAATTGGAAAAAATTTTTTTGTTTAAATGCTAAAAAAGATTTTATCTACAACATTCCTCTTTTGTTTTGTTCCCTTTTAAAAGGAAAGAAAAAAATTTTTTGAGTCCTTAAAAATTAAGTCCTTAATTTTTTATAAATTAACAAAATTGATTAATTTAGGTGTCATTCGACTAGGCTCGTCAAACTCTTCCGAATGAGATAACATTTGTATTTTCTAAAGAGTTTTGAAACCTTACCCTAGTCAATTACCGACATTCGAGTTTTAAACATAATACGACTAACAAAGAAAGTTTACAATAATATTTATATTATATCTATAAATTTACTTCAAGTTTCTCTGACAATACACCGATCAACGCACCAGCAAAGTTCTTCCCAATTCCACAAAGAATAATAACACGTCCACTAGCCATGTATTCACAACCATGATCACTAACACCTTCGATGCCAGAAGTAGCACCAGAATTACGAACTGCAAAACGTTCTCCAGCAATTCCTCGAAAGAATGCTGTCCCTATAAAAAATTTAAAACTTAGAAATTGAGAAAATTTTTAAACCAGAAGTTGACCCATAAAGAGCCACATTTCCAATTATTGTATTTTCTTCAGAAGCATAAGTAGGATTTTTGTATGGCCGAATTATTATTTTACCTCCAGAAATGCACTAAATTAAGAAACAAAAATAAAAGAAAAACGAATAATTCAAAACCTTTCTAACATAATCATTCGCCTCACCCTCCAATCTGACAGTGAATACTTTTGCCAAAAAAGCACAAAAACTTTGCCCAACAGCTCCTTCCAGATTAAGTGCCAATAAATGCCCCTCAGGCAACCTTTCTTCTCCATAAAGAATAAAAATCTTAAAAGATATTTATAAATTTTATTAATTATTCAAATACCTCGTAGGTAAGTCGAGCACCAAAACAGGGGTTTGTATTACCTATTATTCTTTCTTTGATGTGTTTAACTTTTGAAGAGTTATCAAAGAATTTAATTAATTGTTCCTTTTCTATTATATCAGTTTCCAAATCATTACATTCATGCAGCTAAAATAGATAAATGAAAAGTAATCAATCAGTACTCAATTAATAAAAACCTGTTTTATCGATCCACCTTTTATATTGATCTGCGGGAATTGCAAGGAAACTTTATGCAAAATTTGAGCAAACTCTAGAAAGGTTGCTTTGTTGTTCATCGGATGTGGAACCGCATAAAGTAAATCAACTCTTCCAACAGATTCCCTCACTTCTCGCAATACCAATTTCGAAAGAAAATAACGAACATCTTCGGCTACCATAAACATATAATTAACGACATGTTCTGGCTTTCCATCAAATTTTGCTCGTAGAACGGGATCCTGAGTAGCTATTCCAACTGGACATGTATTTAAATGGCATTTTCGCATCATTGTACATCCAAGAACGATCAAAGGTGCTGTAGACATGCCGTATTCATCTGCACCTAGCAAAGCTGCAACCATCACATCACGACCTGATAGGACACAAAGATTTTAAAAAAAGTTAAATATTAAATAACCAGTTCTTATTTGTCCATCAGCTTGAAGTACAATGCGGGAGCGTAAATCATTCATTGTCAAAACTTGATGAGTTTCAGAAACACCTATAATTATTTAGTAATTAAAGATTGACGATAAAATGTGTTGGATCAATTAAGGTAAACATACCAAGTTCCCAAGGAAGACCAGCATGCTTTCTAGAATAATTGAGTCAAATTAAACACGATTTATTAAAATACTCACATTCCCGTCCAACTGCTTGCTCCTGTACCACCATCATGTCCAGAAATAGTAACGTGATCTGCACCTCCCTTAGCCACCCCTGCAGAAACAATACCAACGCCAGCCTCTGAAACCAATTTGACACTAACTCGAGCTCTGGGATTTGCACATTTTAAATCATAAATTAACTAAAAAATATCGAACATTTCTATGTATAAATTAAAATTTATACTTGTGTGAGATGTTCAATAGTGTAAATGCCACGATGAAAAGAGACGAGTCCACCTTAAAAGATAGTTTGGTAATATTGAACCTGCCAGACCCCATTTTATCCTCCCAAATTTTTTCCTATATATCCACAGAATAGACTTCTTCCTCTCATTTCAATTGCCTTTCTATATTTTGCCTACAAACAATCAAAAGGAATTAATTTTCATTCCCCTTTGGCTGAAGAAAAAGAAAATTGGGATGGAAGGAAGCTTGACTATTCTATAAATATATAGGAAAACACTTGGAAGGAAAAAATGGGGTCTGTCAGGTTCAATAGTACCAATAATTTACATTAAGGTTTTCCCGTTATAAATTATAAACTGAAAAACTGATCAAACCTCCTTGAGTTGATTTTCTTGTAGCGGCAATTTCTCTCTTTACTTTGTAACCATGAATTTCACCTGAAATTTGAAAAAAACACTATGATTTTACAAAAAAAAACCTCCGTCGCCCAGCTTTGCTTGCTGAGCCATTTTTTCGTCGGATTTTGCCCTACATATCACGATTAAATTCATAGCATGAAAAATCCGACCTGTTAACACCAAAGCGCCCCAAAGCTACCTTTTGAGGTGTAAATTTAAAGGAAGGAGCGGTTGATGGGCACACAAGCAAAAAGCTGTTGGAAATAGGACAAAAAAGTCACAAGAAGGATCGATTGATGGACACACGAGCAAAAAGTTGTTGGAAATAGAAAAGCAAAAGTAGTGGCTTATAGTAGCAGAAAGGAGAGAAGAGTTTTGTATGTTTGTTGTCTCTGCTCTAACTCTACAGCAGAGAAAGAAAAGATTTACTGCAGAAGCGAGAGAAAATTTTTTAGCAGAAAAGAGAAAAGATTTTACAACAGAAAGGAGAGTAGAGTTTTTTGTTTGTTGTTGTCTCTGCTCTACCTTTTCTCTGTCTGTGGGGGGTGGGTAATCAGCTTAAGTTAAATTATAATTTATATTTATTCAACTACCCGGTGGCCGGGTCGGTAGTGTGCCCGCATTTAGGCAGGAGGGCACAGGATCGACCCGGCCACCGGTAAATTAATTTTATTAATTTCGTTTTTAATAATGGCCTTTTGATTTGTGGGCGTTTTGGCTTTTGGACATTTTGTCGCGTGGCAATTTGTCGCGTGGCAATTTGTCGCGTGGCAATTTGTCGCGTGGCAAATTGTCGCGTGGCAATTTGTCGCGTGGCAATTTGTCGCGTGGCAAATTGTCGCGTGGCAATTTGTCGCGTGGCAAGTTGTCGCGTGGCAAGTTGTCGCGTGGCATTTTGTCGTAATGGCGTTTTGTCGGATGACGAAAGGTATTGGATTACGTCATCCTTATTTTCTCTGCCCGTCTCTCCAGGGGCGGGGCGATAATCAATCAATAAAAAGAAAGGGATGTTATAGTAGTCAGGGGTTTTTAATTCTCCTTCCAGCAAGGTAATCCCCACCTTTTCGACTGAATTTGGAATCCGTCTTTCAAACGGCCGTTCATTAATTATTACCGCAAATACGGTTGAACATTTCACACAACAGACGAATTATGTTCCATATACCCCACAACTAGTGTCTTATCCCGAACTGATTTTGAACAACCAAATAGTGTGTCCATCCATACTCTTAGGAAGCGATTATTATTATGAAGTTGAGCCTACTCCTCTCCTTCGCCTACCTTCGGGCCATCATTTAATACACACACTTTTTGGACCAATCATAGCTGGGAAAGGGTTTATTCCACAAAAAACAACCCAGTCGTTAATAACTAATTTTAGTACTCACGAAGCTGTAGAAACACCTCCAGCCGAATTTTTCTCACTAGAAGGTATTGGTATAAATGATTCGCCAAACCCGGAAGAGAATGACGTTTTAAAGAATTTTAATAAAGAAATAAAAATGGTAGACGGTAGATATCAAGTTAAACTTCCATTTAAAGCTTCCCCAGAGACTATTCAAATCCCTTCCAATTTCGGTCTCTGTTGGGGTCGCCTCCGCTCAGTACACACATCATTAATGAAAAATAAAGAATTTTTATTAAAATATAATAATATAATTAAAGAGCAATTAGAATTGGGTATAATCGAAATTGTTGAAAATCCTCACGAATACTCATTCCCTCTACATTATTTACCGCACCATCCGGTTATAAAAGCCTCTAATGGAAAAGTTAGAATTGTTTATGATGGCTCCGCTAAAATCGGTAAGGAAATTTCACTGAATGAATGCCTACATCCAGGCCCAGTAATACTGCCCGATTTAATAGGATTGTTATTACGCTTTCGTATCCCGAAAATTGCTATAATTTCGGACATAGCCAAAGCTTTTCTTCAAGTTTCTGTCGATCCATCTCATCGTGACGCCACCAGATTTCTCTGGTTGAAGGACATTGAATCACCTCCCTCTCAATCTAACGTACAGATTTACCGATTCACACGTGTATCATTCGGTTTAGCGCCGTCTCCGTTTCTTTTAGCGGCTACAATTCAGCACCATCTCTCTTTATTTCCTTCCCCTTTAGCAACAGAAATTGCAAAAAATATCTATGTAGATAATGTCTTTCTTTCAGCAGAAAATCCTCAAGAAGGTCAAATCAAATCCTCAAATTCTATAGAGTTATTCGACAAAGCAAAGATGAAACTACAAGAATTTGTTAGCAACTCGAGTGAAAGCATATCCCATTTACCCGAAAACATTAAATTAAAGGGTAATTGTCAAAAATTTCTAGGTATAGACTGGCAAACTGAAAATGACTCACTCTCAATAAAAGCTCTATCATTACCGCCGAAAGATGCCCCGATCTCAAAACGGGCCATACTAACTTTCATGGCTTCTCATTTTGACCCTCTTGGGCTCATTTCACCAGTTATCCTACCAATAAAAATATTTTTACAGTCGCTTTGGAATGAAAAGATAGACTGGGACGAAAAACTTTCTGAACAATCAATTGAAGAGTGGAATTTAATAACCCAAAGCTGGGACCCTAACTCAATTATTACAATCCCACGACGAATCTCCCAATTACCAACAATTGGTCGTACATACCAGATACACTGCTTTACAGACGCATCGAATCAAGCGATGTGTGCAGCCGTTTATTTAAGAATTTCGCATCCTTCCAGCCCCCTCTCCGACAATTCTTTGATTTTTAGCAAGAGTAAAGTAAAGCCAATAAATAAACCTAATAATCTTACAATACCACGATTAGAGTTGATAGCAGCCCTAATGGGGACTAGAGCCTTAAAATTTATTTATTCCCAATTAACCTCTGTAATTATTGAAAAACCGTTTTATTTGTGGTGTGATTCAACCGCGGTTATCTCGTGGCTAAATAATAAAACACCTATAAAGGATATATTTGTACAAAATCGAATAAACGAAATGAGAAAATTGCAAGATTTGATTGCCACTCATCTTCCAGGTACGATTAATCCCGCTGACATCGGGTCTAGAGGCACACAATCACTCAATTCACTCGGCAATTTACCACTCTGGTGGAGTGGCCCAGAATTCCTAAAATCATCTCCAGAGAACTGGCCGAAACAAGAAAAAATTAAGCCCTACATTTCAAAGGAGTATAAACAAAAATCACCATTACCTGTAGAAACTCCAATATTTACATTTAATATAAATGCTACAGAAGGACTCGACCTTAGTTATTTTTCACGTTTACCCAAATTATTAAGAGTTCTATCATATATGTTCCGTTTTATTTACAGAGTAAAAAACGGCCAACCTTTTACGGAATCTGAAAGTATTAGTTCAAAAGAAATGCAACAATCATTAAAAAGAATAATCAGAAGCGAACAGACGACACATCCATATACAGAACAAGAAAAGGAATATTTGGGCATTTATAAGGATCACGAGGATATTTTAAGATGTAAAGGGCGGTTGGGGAAAAGTAATTTAACTCTTGAAACGAAAGAGCCCATATTTCTACCTTCACGTTCTTATTTAACTTGCTTAATAATCTATGAAACTCACTTACTTAATAACCATTCAAGTCCTTTACTGACGTTATCCATTATTCGGAAACAATTTTGTATTCCTTCCGGCCGACGTATTTCGGAAAAATCTATACATAAATGTTTATCTTGCAGGAAATACACTGCTAAACCATTTGCTCTTCCACCCTTTCCACAATTTCCCACAGATAGGATAGAACAATCACTTCCGTTCTCGGCCGTAGGCCTGGATTTTTGTGGACCATTATACATTAAAACACCATTTCTTGTACCAAAACAAAAGAAAACCACTCAATTTGATGTTAAAAAATATTGGATTACCCTCTGGGTTTGTTTAGCTACCAGAGCAATTTCTCTGGATTTGATCCCCGATTTGACTCTCGACTCTTTTTCACTTGCATTTAGAGGACAAACCGCAAAACACGGACTACCTAAAACCATCTATTGTGACAATGCCCCAACATTTATAGCAACAAAATCATTCCTCTCAAATCATGCACAAATTTCTCCCCCAAAATGGCATTTCCGTACACCGGGCGCAGCCTGGAAAGGAGGGCATTATGAAAGACTTGTTGCCTTAATAAAAGGTCATTTGAAACGAACTTTGGCGGGAGGAGCCATTCCCCGCACCTTTCTTTTTCACGAAGTCTCGACCATCCTCCTCGAGATTGAGTTAGTAATTAATAGTCGTCCAATCACCGTAGATTCGGCTAACCCTGCCGACCCTAGACCAATATGTCCTTTGGACTTTCTAAAGCCTTGCGGGCACAAAGCTACACTACAAATCTTACCCTCCAGCGAAGAAAAAGCTGATGATCCTGACTATACTCCTTTTCCATTATCTAACCAACAATCTTTGTCCATCTTATGGGAAAAACTTTCAAATCGCACAAAAGCGTTTTGGTCCAGGTGGAAAAGTGATTACATTCTTTCTTTAAGAGAACGACATAAAAAGTTGAATTCCATCTCTCAAAGATGGCCGATCACTAACGAACTAGTAATTGTTTATAATGAATCGACTCCCAGGTCCAATTGGTCGTTGGCCGTAATAAAAAAGATATTTTACACAGAAGACAATTTTCCTAACACTGCACAAATTAAATTTCTCAATGGGAACGTTTCTTTGAGATCAGTTCACCACTTGTACCCCTTAGAAACCGCCGATGAGATAAAACAAAAGTAGGCGGGGGAGGGCGCGGTCGCGATAATTCTTATTTAATTTCACACCTTTTTCCTATCCCCATTCATTTTTTATTTTTTTCAATCAACAAGCTTTAACAAAAGCTCACTTAAGCTAACTTCTTTTAAAATAAAGCATTACTCTTTATGGGAAATATTATTGCCTTGCAACTAGGACCCATTGATTTAAACTTATTCAAGCCTGAACCTCCTCCACCGGAACCTTTCCCGTGGATATTCTTTATTGCTTCCGTTTTAATTCTAGGAATAATTGTGAGTGTTTTAATCCTATTTTGTATTCTCGTTCTTCGAAATAAACGAGCCCGAGTAATCCCGATAATCCCTCTTTGTCTGCTCCTTCTTTTAGCTATTCCTACGCCTATAGAAGGTAAAATTCGCGGAAAATATATTGTAAACCGCGTCAGAAAGCCAATATCCAAGGGAATTGGATCCATATTGGGCACAACCGCTATTTATTTCGGTTTAGATAAACTCGCTTCTGCCTTAGAAGATGAACCCGAAACAGCCATTCCAATACTGGCAATCGTTGGTTTCCTTTCAATACTTTTTATGTTTCTTGTTTTGCGAGTCCTCTTTTCTATCTACAAGTATCTTAAGCCAAACAATGGCTCCACGGCACCCCCACCAATTGAACTCAATGAAATTAGCTCGACGGTTCGAGAGCTCCTTAATCGCTCCAATCCCCCTCCATTACGTAATTAAAATTAAATTTAGAAATAAAAGTAATTTAATGCCATATCTTTCAAGACCTAATAGAAAGGACATCTCTCAATCCCTTATTAAACAAATAAATTCCTATCTCTACATTTCCCGCAACCCTTCTAAAGACAACGTCATGAAACAAGCTAAAAAAGGGACCCGATCAAATAATCCTAATTCTTCTTCTCTCAATTCAAATTCTGCTACCCCAACTACTACTGCTCCTAATTCCAATCCGGTCCAACCAATTTCATTGGAAAATCCTCCAAAGGAGGCTCCTGTTACTTGTGGTAATCCTAATCCAATGTTTCCCTTCATTCAATTTTCAGGTAGTGCGATTGCGGTTGTAATTGGAGCCCCCAGCAACGAAACAACAGAAATGGTCACTGACGAGCCACCTCCGCCTCCGGACGAAAACGACTATGAATGTTTGACACCATCTCCCATTCCACCTGAAGAATTGGCAGCACTCGCTCAATCTACCGACAACAACACTAATGGTGCCATCAATGAACATACTGTGCCTCCCGACAACACTTGCGTCTATTCTAACAACGCTTACGATTTTGATGGGACAACCAGCCTTAAACTCATCTCCCGCACTCGAATAAACAACAAAGGCAAAATCATCAAACTGCCACTGAAGAGTCGTAAAGGTGAAGCGCTGTGCTGGAAACATATGGCTTTTAAGAACAAAATAAGACCAATCCCTTTAAACCGTATATCCCACCGCTCATAATTATAGATTTGGATTTTTTTAATTCTTGCGGTGGCAGTGTCGCATCTTGCGAATTGCTTTAAATTAAATTATTTCTTTAAATTAAATTTATTTTCCCACATCTTTAAAAGATGTCCCTTAAGATAAAAATCCTTATTTAAGGCTTTATTAAACTTTCCCTGTTCGGTTCTCAATTAATCATTTTTTCTACAATTAGCCTTTCTTCTCAGCTCTTTTAGCCTTATTCACCAATCGAACATATATATTTGTTTAAATAAATAAAAGTTTGAATTTGTTAAAGTTTGTACTAGGTTTGCTTAACTGTAGGGGTATATTTCGGAGATAAAACTCTTTCTCCGACATGCTGTTCTCTACATAGGGAAAAATAATAATAAAAGAAAATATAAGTTACTAGGAAAACAAATGAGTGAAGTAGATAGTGTTCGGGATCTTGGTATTATAATTGATTCTAGTTTATCATTTTCCCAGCATTATGAGAAAATTATTAAAAATGCTTATTTCCTTACGCACCAGATATTTAGAGTAATTAAAACTAAAGATATAAATAAACTTGTATTTTGCTACAAAACGTATGTAAGGCCCTGTCTAGAATATGCAACCGAAGTATGGAATCCATCCAAAGCGGAAACCTCCCACCAAATAGAGAGAGTCCAGAAATTCTTTACACGAATTGCCCTTAAAATTTGCTCCATTACACCTAGGAACTATGAAGAAAGATTAAAATTATGTAAGCTTAAGAAGCTAACTGAGCGACGCTGTATTTCAGACTTATGTATGACATATAAATTTATAACCGGACATACCCATCTAAAACCAGATAAATTTTTTATATTTGCGAAAAGAAATTTACGCAGGAAATATCTAATTCAAAATAAAGGGTACTCATTTAAGACAAAAAATAATTTCTTCATTAGAGTCATTAACATTTGGAATAAATTACCTAAAGAAGTCATTGAGTGTGCAAATCCCAAAAAATTTAGAGTATTAGCTAATTGTGTAGATTTTGGTCTTTAAGGGTTTTTAACATTATTTTTCATTAAATATAATCACATATATATTTTTTTTAATCACATATATTTTTTATCCACATTTATTTTTTCAAATATCATTTATTTTTTTTTAAAGTTTTTATAATTTTACCAACGCATTTATTTGTATTGTTTTTTTTTATCCATTGTAAGTGTACATGCTTGTATGTACCTTTTGGTGTTCGTTATAAATAAATAAATGTGTAAATAAATGTGAAAATTTCATGCCAGATAATTATTGTGTGTGTGCATGTTCTTATTTTTTTGCAAAACTATTAAGTAAACGTTTTTATCGCTAAATTTTTTAGCAAAAATTGTAAAAGTGTGAGGAAAGAAAAATGTAATAAATAAATAAATATTTAGTTTTTTTTTGTTTTTCTTTTTAAAAACATTGATTTTGTTGATGACAACCTCTCCTTCCCTTTATTTTATTTTTTAAATATTTATTTTTCTTTTTCCCCCGCATTCGTTCCACACAAACAATTCAAAAACCTTTTTTTCTCTTAAACAGAAAATAATGCTTTTAAAGACAGCCTTTTAGCTTTTCCTTTAATATTTTTCCTCAATAAACTTTTATAAAATTGTTTACAATTTTCTCATAATATAATCTCCCCTTTAGGAATTTTTTTAATAAATTGCCACATAAATAAGGTGGTTTGAAATAAAAATTAAAAAGAAAAAATATTTTTTTAATTTTGTTTTAATAACTTTTTTTTAACCTTTTTGGCAACATTTTTGTTTTATTTTTTAATCTGGATTAATAAAGTGTACTATAAAGTTTGTGTAATTAAGTAAAGTTATTTTTTACTTTAAATAATAGTGAAGATTTAAACATTTTAAATAATATTTTTTTCTAAATTATCTCGTATATTAATGTACTTGAAGGATTATTATGACAAATAAAAATATCGCCAAAAAATATTATTTTATCTTTATTTTTATTCTCTCTATCATTAACCATAATGTCTAAAGACGTGTAAAAACATGCCCCCCCCTCCCATTAATTAGCTTACTTTTTAAATCTTAGAATTCATCACAAACTAAGTGTCTCTTAACGAAAATCCTAGCCAAAAAACTTCCACCAAGTACTCCTCAGTCTATAGATTCATTGTAGACTTCGTTTAAGGTTCGAGATAACGGTTCGAGTTTAAGGTTCGAGATCTCAAAATCCAATTTGAGTGGTTTAAGGTGGAGATCAGTGGATTTCAATGAATTTTTCTTTTTCTATTCACTTTTTGAATATCCAAAACGGTGTTTTTTCTGCTTTTTAAATAGGATTTCATTATTTAATTAATAACTAACTACTTATTTCCAATTAAATACCACAACTATTTAATTGCTTATTAAAAATGTATCTTTATTTTTTTATTTTTTTTAAACTGATAAAATTGTCTACTAAAATTGTAACAATCTATTTATTTTCTATCAAGTACTTTGTTATTTTTTTGTTGTTGTTTTTGTTATTTTTAATGTTACTACTATGAATGTTTCCCCCCTTTAACTACACTTCTTATTAATGTGCGTAGACGACCTTCCTCTCCTTTTTATTTTTTTTCTATCAACCAGCTGGCTTTTTACCCTCAAATATACACACAAAACAACAACAACAATTTCCACTTCCTCCTCTTTTTATTTTCCTTTTTCTTCTTCACAATCATACTCTTTTTCCCAATTTTCTTTCTTTTTCTCTGCCTGCCAGACACGGCTGGCGCGTTCTCCACACACAGAGAGACTTTTATTAAAACAACTTTTTATTTTGCTCTAGTAAAGACTGTCGCGTATGTATTTACTACTATTTTATTCTCTTCATCAACATTTAACAAACACACTTTGAACCGAACAAGCGGGCGAAGAAAGGAAGAAAGAAAAAGGGGTTATTTGGGTGTCTAGTAAATTGTTTTTGATTTTTTATTGTTTAAATATTTTTTTGGGATCATTTGAGGTTTTTAAACAATAAATTTTGTTTAAACATAATTTTGCATTATTTTATATCCTCTAAATTCTAGACAATTTAAATTTAATTTTTAAATTTGTTTAAACAATAATAGCGTGGCTAATTTAAATAAATGACTCTTTTGTTTATTAAAGAATTTACTATTTAACTACTTTTAAATATTGTGTATTTAACTTTCTCACAAAATTTATTCCTTATATTTAATAAATTACCTATCACAAAAAATTTCAGAATCTAAAAATTCAAAAACGAGTTTTCCTTGAATCATAGTAAATTAATGATAATTTCTATTTAATAATTTTTTAACGGGGATTTCCGTGATTTAAGTATTTGTGGAATTCTTCTATCGAATTTTATTGTTTCATTTTTTAAAATTATGTTTGCCCCATTTTTGGGCACAAATCTCGAAAACAGAAATAAAACAATTTGTTATTTTAACTGTTTTTCAAAAATACTGTTAAAAATTGAGTAATAAATAGTAGCACCCTTCTATTGTAATTTTTTGCCACAAATTTCAGACTCTAAAACCCTTAACTAAATCCACCCCTAGGCTTTTTTCTAGGCCTTTCTCTCTCTCTTTCTCTCCACAAACAAACAGCAAGTGCTTCTCTCGTCACAAACAACTAAATGTATTTTCCCCCCAACTCCTTTTTTTTACTTTGTATTCCCCCAATCATTTGCCCTTCCAAACAATTCCTCAAGCGCACAAACAATTTTTTGCTTTGCTCGCAACAGAGGAAAGCATCGGTCGAAGGCGGCCGTCGGCGGCCATTACTTCGCCAGTTTCCATCTCCCCACATTTTCTATCAAAACAACATTCCTTTCTTTCATAAATGGGTGTCGTCCTTCATCCGGACAATCTCTGAAAGGAGATTTTTAACTAAAAAATTAAAAAATATTTTTCTTCGCAAATAGTTGATTAATGTGTTTACATTTATTTTGTTTTTTAAAAATATTTTTTTAATATTCTAATTACTAAGAGCTTAAATTTCCCTTCAAAACACTCCTTTATTACGTAAATAATCTAACAAAAATTTAATTTTTATTTTGTGGAAAAACTTTCATAAAAGTGTTAATTTTTGACATGAATTTCAAAATTTTCGATTTTAAAACCTTTCTACTAGGGTTATTAACCGGAACCTGGTATCGGTTTTGAGTTTTAAATAAATCCCGGTTTCATTTTGGGAGAATTCAAAAAAATAACTTATATTCTTAAATTTCCGGTTTTCGGTTTTTAAAATTTCATAAAAACGGTTAATTTTTGTCAAAAAACTCAAAAATTTCGGTTTTAAAACCGGTCGTGAATAGACTACTTTCTACTATTGAAGTAATTCTGTTTTTGAATCAATTCCCTGCCTAAACGGTTTCACAAATCCATTTCCGACTGCTATTAACACTGAACGTCGAGAAAATTCTGAATAAAGTTTGATACATAATTAACTGAAATAAAGTTTTACAACCACTACATAATATCCCAGAATTATCACATGTGGTACAAAAATGAGGATTTTTGGCTTCTTGGCCTTTTGAAAAATCAAAATTTTTTTGGGTCCCTTCGGAGGTTTACAATATCTCACAAAATCCTAAATGATAGTTATCCGCACCGATGGCGTGAAAAAATGTCAATAATTTGCTTGTTGTGTCCAAAAAATTATACTTATTTGGTTTTGAGTTTTTAGGTGTTTACATTTATTTTGTTTTTTAACACATCCTTGTTTTTTTGAAGTGCGAGCTTAGTTGCGAGTCTGAAAATTTTCGTTCTTTTACGTCTGTTAGATTTTTCGACGAAATGATTAAAGGCATATTTTGGATCTTTACATTTAATTAAAATTTAGGAGGTTTTTGATTTTTTATTTCTAATTATTTTTTCCAATGATTCTCCAGGAACTTCCAACCCTAGTTCTAAATAATTCTTATGTGTAAAATTATTCGTTTTAATTTTCTTTAGTTCATACGATTATTTATTTTTTTTATTTAAAACAACTGAATCTTATATTTTCTAGTTTGGATTTTATCACCACTCTGGAAATTTTCTAGAGGCCCCTATTTATCAAGAACTCTCACAGTAGTTCGTCTTGGTCCTAATCTCTTTTTAGATTTAAACACTCTGAAATGTAGACAAATTCGGAGTTGCCAATAAGTGTTCAGATCAGATGACTCCAATGATAATCTACATTCTGATCTGTTAAGTTAACAAATTCTTTTGCTTAGATTTTCTTTAGCGGTGCGTGCGGGAATTTCTGGAATTTCAGAAATTTACCTAAAAATGGTCAATTTGTATGGTATAGACACAGCGCATCAAAAATCTGGGGATCATAAATTTTAGGAGATTCTCAGAATATCAAAAGCATCGAAACTCGGAAGGCTATCGAATCTACCTTCATTATATCAATTCCAAAAATTTTCAAATATCTGATACACTATTTATTACCAACTTGACATATCGCTATAATATCAACTTCTCCCTATTTTCACAATTTTCTTAATTTTTCATATTTTTAGAACCCACATAAATATATTACATATTCAATTTTCTTTCCCTTTAACTATTTTCTAACATTGCACGCTAATCCTTCTGTTGCCAACAACACTTAACATCGAAAAATATTGACAATTTTTAATTCAATATTTACTTCAACTCTTAACCGGCTGGCAATATAGTTGTATTTTATTACTTTGAAGTAGAGAGTGAAAATAATAAAAAGACAATAGAAAAAGAAGAGGCAGAAAGAACCTTCTTTTTAAAATTAGAGAATTGAATATTAAATGAGAAAGATTATTAGATAGTGAACAAAATCGCAACATTAAGAGGAGAAAAAGAGAGAGAGGCTATTGTGTTATATTCTATGCATCTGTCGCTTTAAAATAGAGCGGCAAATAAGTCAGTCAGTTACACTTCGAATAAAGAGAAGAGAAGTACCAGCCGTGAAGAACAGGAGAAAGGGAGCAGGTGTGAACTTTTTTTATTAAAAAAATGAGGAACGTTAAAGTTTGGGAGGAAATATGGAGAGAGAGAAGAGAGAAAATTGGTAAGGGGAAAGGGAAAAAATTTAGTGTTCTAATAAGGGTTTTTGTGGTTTTCAACTATCAAGGGACTCGTTTAGGTGCAATTTAAAATAAATTAATATTTTAAACAAGAGTGGCTATATTAAATTTTAAGCCAAATTAATTTTATAGTTTTTACTTTAAAGGATTTTTTTATTAAAATGAGGGAAGGGATGGATTGTTTAGTTCTATCCTATTTTTTTGGTTAATCAAAATTATCTGAGAGAGGATTTTTAATAAACATAAAAGAGGAAACTACTCACTAAATACTTTAATTTAATTTAAATATTTTTTTTATTTTCCTCAACGGGGTTTTTTTCATTTATTTTTTATTCATTTGCCGTTAAAAAGTATACGAGAAAGAGACGAGAAGTTTTTTTGGGTTTCCGAGTTAATTGTATTTTTTAGTAAAAAGTTAAAACTCTTCCATTTTTTATATGTTGCTAACGACAACACTTTTATATTTTTTAAATATATTTAAAAAACCTTTAAATAAATTTTATATTACCAACAATTTTAATATTAAAATTTAAATATTAATATGTTTATTAGTTAGTTTAAAGAGTATATGTAATTTTATAAAAAAAATTTTCTAATTTTCTATTAATTTTCAAATAAATATTTTTTAGAAATTAAATAAAAATTTTCCCCTAAATTTTATAAGTATAATTATTAAGAATTAAGATACGAAGACTTTAAGGAATTATTCCCTTTTCCTTCTCGAATAATACAGAACTTTAATGAATCTTTTTTAGCAAAATCAAAAAACAATTTACTTCTTACCTATTCTTAACTTCTCTTTATTTTTCTTTTATTCTCGAACAATTTATTTATGTCCAAAAATCTCTTTCATTCTTTTTTATTAAATATTCACGTGTATAGTAGCATCCTTTATTCTAACAAAACACATTAAAAGTTTTGTGGATTTTTAATAAGTAAAAGTCCTAACAATGAATTAATTTAAAAAAGTGTTTTGATCGGTTTAAGTAATCCCTTCTAATATCACATTATTTTGTCTAAATTTCTTTTAGATTAGCAATAGACAATAAAATTAATTATTTAATTATTTTTGGAAAGTTTTGGAGGAATGCTTTATACATATAAATAAAGTAAAAGAAATTGAGTTTTGATTTTAATCTATTTTAAAATAATACTATTCAGTTATTATTGCTTAATTGTACCTATTTAATTTTTAATTCTCCATTCGTTTGATAAATTTTAAAAAATTTCACATGCATTAGAGAAACATCTGAATTATATTTTTTAATTTTTAATTTTTTGGGTTTCCCTTAATCTTTTATCTTCTCTTCTGATTAAATAAAAATATTTTAATAGCTACGTGGATTGTTTAAATATATATTTAAATTATTTTAAATAATTCATTTAAGTTTTATTAAAAATTATTTATTTATTTAATTGTTTATGTAAATCCTCCCCAAAAAATTTATTTTTTAAAAATTATTTTTAAAAATTATTTTCGATAAACATTTTATTTTATATTTACATATTTTTAAACTTTATTTAAAAAACTCTTTTTGTTTCATTTTTTATTTTTATTTCCGCGTTATTTTATTTTAATTTTTTTTATTTTAATTAATTTTAATTATGTACATATATTCTCTTTTATTTATGTTTCAGACATTTTTATTGCGGGAAGGGGATGAATTTAATAAAAATGAAGTCTGGGTATTTTTAAAAATAAATTATATTTTATTTTTTCATGTGAATGACTTTTACCCTTTTGCTCTAATTTAAAATAATTTTCTTTTATTTTTAATTAAACTATTTAATAAATAATAGTGAATCACTCTTCCATTATATTTACAAAAATATAAACCTTAATAAAAAATATTTATTATTTAATTGCCATAAATTTTAATGAGGGCGCGCGACTAAGTATAAAGATAATCAATCTTTACTTATTAGTCTAATTCAAATCAATATTTAATTTTTTAATTTTAAATTTTGAAACAAAAATTGAAAAGACTTTGTTATTTTAAATTAATTTTTTTATATTTAATTATTTAAAAAAATAACTGGCAACATACATATTTTTTAATCAAATAATTCAAATTAATATTGATAAGAGTAAGAAGGCACACATTCCTAAAAATGTGTTTTTTTTATTTCATTATTTTTATAATATTATTGCATGACTATTTTTTTTATTATTTTTTTACAATTTTTCTATTTTTTATTATTTAAAATGTATTTTAAATTTTTTTATTTTAATTTTTTTACCTTTACATTTATTTATTGTTATTGAAATTTAAAAACTGGGGATTGTCTCTCTCATACATATATCCTTCCATTGTTCCATTTTACTAGGCGTAGTTTTTTGACCTTTTAATTATTTCAAATTAATTAATTTTCTTAATTAATTCGCGTCTTTTTATTAAATTTTCCTTATATTCTAATTAATTTTTTTTCAGTTTGGTATGGCTTTAGTGTCATTATCCAATACTTTAATGAATGGTGGTTGTACTACCGGTAGCAGCAATTCTTCAATGCTACAGGGTGATTTAGTTTATAAATATTAAATTAAAACATTTTAAGAATTAATTAAAGAATTTAATTATATTAACTATTTTCAAATTTATTCTCTCATAAAAAATATTTTTTAACCATCTAATACTATTTAATACACAAAATTCATTTAACATATTTTTAAACAAGATTTAAATTTTTTAATTTTAATAATTAATGATTAGAGTCCATATTTTCATTAAAAATATATTTAATAAAAAGATTAAAATTTTTATTTAAGAAGGAGATGGTGTTCGCAAATCTGGCCCAATTATTTTATTAGTTGGAGGAAAAAAGCGTGGTCAAATTGCTTACGCCGTTCTATCAGAAAGAGCATTAGAATTGTTTAATTCTGAGAAATCCTATAGAAAAAAGAAAGTTGCTAAAGCTATTGTTGATTTAAGTAAATGTTTTAATGTTTCTCAACAGGTGTTTTTTTCTAAAAAATATTTTTAAGAAAATAAATTAATTTTAAAGAATTGCCCAAAGTCTAGATCATCTAGTGTTTGTTTAATGATGCCTGATGAATGTTTTTTATTTCAAGGAGCTGAAAGCTCTAATGATACAATTGTAATTAAAAAAAATTTTTTTAAATTAAAAATATTTAATTTAAAGGAATGGTACAGAGTTTTGTTGTCGGCAGTTATTTCTGCTAGAGCATTAAATTTAGGAAGGCCTGTCTTTGCCAATGAATTTTTTGGTTATTAAAAATATTTTTTAAAATTAATTTTTTATTTTAAAGAATGTGTTTGGGATGTTGTTATCTTTTCTCAACAACCAAAATTAAAACGATCATCACAAGCCCCAACAAACCCCGAATTTGTTAATTGTCCAAATATTTGTGCTAAATTACGTGATGAAATGTTTTTGGCGGGAAGGGGAAGACTTTGTTTTTATCCTCATACAATTATTATTTGGTAATTTAATTTAAAAAAATATTGTTTAAAAATACTTTTTAAAGTAAAACTGGAATAGAACCAGCACATTCTGGACTTCCAAAAGCAGGAATTCCTCCTTTCCGGACAACCGATTTTGTTGAAATTTCAAGGCATTTTATTGCACAATTTGGATGTGTAGAACGTTATTTTCTTTTACGAATTGGGAGAAGTTCACCTATGGGATCTTGTGAAGTTTGGGTTCAATGCGAATCTGATGATCATGCTGCTGAGATTAACCGTAAATTACAAGAAATAATTCAGCGTGAAACAGAAAAGAAACAACAAGCTTTACAAGCAATCCGTGGCCAACAACAATTAAATGTAAATAAATTTATCTGTATCAAAACCTATTTTTTCTTTTTAAGGCCTCACCACTTCCTAGTTCATCCTCCCCTTCTAATCCTTCTACTTCTAATCAGTATTGTATGTATTCCTTTGCTTCTTCAACAACTGATTCTGAAATAACTAAAGAACCATTAGAAATTGCTGAACAACAACAACAACCTATTTTGGAGACAATAAGTGAAGATGAACAACAACAACAAAATGTTACACCTTCGTCTTCAAATAATTCTGTTGATGGAGGACGTAAACGAAGAGAACATTCTTCATTAAGTCAAGCTGCGAGAGAGAAAAGAATTGAACTTAGAGAATGTAAAGCTAAAGTAGATTCTTTAGAAAAGGAAGAACTTGAAGAGAAATTAAGACGAAAACAACAACAAGCAGAATGGGAAGTTGCTCAACAAAGACTTTTACTTCCTCATTATTACCAACAAAATTTAAATGAAAAGTAATTTATACACTTTTTTAATTTAAAAAATCCCAAGTGTTTTTAGTTCTCCTCAATCACTTTTAAGACCAAATTGTTTGTTGGGACCTTCACAAAACAAAAGGCGCGGTTCTGCACAAATGACAGCTGAACTTTGTGCACGCAGCAAGTCCCTAAGTTTGGAAGAGCAACAAGCTTTGAAGTAGACTTTAAATTTTCTAAAATAAGCTCTAAAAATTTATCTTTCAGTTTTCGCTCATTTGGTGGTCAAGTTGGTGGTCGCTTTTGGACCATGGATAAAGCGGACTCACTTCTTTTGTTGGGTGCCGGTTATGGACCCTCAATGGACCCCGAGGAAACTGAGGATAGTGGAGGTACTCTTAGAATGGTTCCCTGCGGTGATGAAAACAATACTGGCGGAGGGGGTGATGGAAGCAGTGCTGCACCTTCTCGTTCTTCCAGCTCTTTAAATATGGGGCCTCCAACATCATCACAAACAAAGAATTCTACGCCTGAAGATGTTTTATCAACAATTAAGAGAAAAAGAAGTACAAATTCAGCTGGACATTTGGTAGAGAGTTTTTTAATATCTGCAAATTATCCCTTTTTAAAGATTGAAGCTTATGTTGAATGTCATGCTACTGTTTGTGATGATGATGAGGAAGCTTTAGTAATACCCCCAGATGAAGTAAGTGATGGTGGAGAAAGTAGTGGGACGGGTGTTGATGCTTGTTCTTCTGCTGATGATGAGGCTGCTTTAAGTGCTAGAAGACAACAAAAACAGCAAAAAAGAAGACAATCAAGAAAATTAATTTTAGAAATGAAAACGTCTGTTGGTGATAATGTTAATAATTCATTAGAATTAGATGGAGGGACTGAAGCAGACCAAGTAAATAATAATTAGTTAAAAATTGAATTTATACTAACTTTTTCAAGAGTTGTTCTTGTTCCTCTTCTGTTGCTAGTAGTAGTGCTGGGGGTGGGGGTGGTGAACGCCAAAGGGATGATGAATTAATAGCTGCTGCAGGAAGGCATTCTCCTTTAGTTTCTACAAACGTTTCTAAACATCAAAGACGGCAATCTAATGAACATAAGGTGTGAATAAAATATAATATATTTATAGAATACCTATGTATTTGTGATCGAGCTGGGTCTGGACAAAGGCCTGGGTTTTTCCTGTACCCAGAGTCCCCCAAGCATTTTTTGACCTTCCTGGGGTTTTCCTAGACTACAGGCCCCTCAATAAATCAGACCCAGGACGCAGGAACAGGCCCAAGCTTTTCAAAAATCTCGATCACTACTAAATATGTACATATATCAATAATAAATTTTAAAATTAGGGATAATTTTTAATTAAAATTCAGAAACAGCAACATTTATCTAAATTAAATTCCAACAACAATTATTGTAATAATACCAACAATTCTTCAACAGAATATACTTTAATGGATAGAGTTAGCTGTTCTTCTGATTCCTTCTCTCATTTAGCTGTTCCACAGCCATGTAAATATAAATAATTTTTTAAAATAATTTTCCTCTTTTTTAAGGGGATCGTCACAATAATTGTTTTTGTCCAGAAGATATATGTTCATATACTAGTGATAGTGGTGATAGTTGTTATTCATCAATGGTTATTAATTTATTTTAATCAAAAAATAAATACATTTTTAAAGGCAAATGGACAATTAAATCCCCGTGCATTTTCATTTTCTTCTTCAACTTCTGATGCCAGAAATCATCTTTTACTCCATAATCACCAACATCATCAATTGGGAAGTAATGGAAGACTTTTAAATACGGGAATTATTCCATCTCATCATTGTCATCAACAACCCCAACAACACCCCGCAGCTGCTAAATGGACTGCTGCTGTAATGGGAGGCAGAAATGTATTTTAAATGAAAATTTTGTTTTTTATCATAAATTTAAAGGTATTTCCCTTTAACAACCAACAACAACAACCACCCCCTCCTCCTTCACCTCGTTCTCATTGTGCACCTTCAAAGGCTTCTGGAATTTCTCAAAATCAACAAGAATATTCTTCTTCGTCTTCTCGTTTTTCTATGGAAACCTCTTTAATTACTCCTTTGGAGGAAGAGGAACAACAAAGACAAGTAATTCCGAGGAGTGTTAAAATAAAATAAAAATTAATTTTCTTTCAGGTTAAATTTGCTGATGATGAACAATTAAATAATAATGATTCTTCTAATATCCTTACTACCTCTTCCTCTTTAATACAAAATCGTGGAGATTGCTCTATTGGAGACGATTCACTAAGGAAGCGAGCATTTTCACTTGGATCTAAATCCTGGCTAACGTCTGTGTTTTCCGTCAATTTTTTTGTAAATAAAAAATTATTTTAGAAAACCTTTTCGTAAACTTTCTTCTTCTCATGGAAATTCTTCAAACATTCGACAACATAATAAAAGTGCCACTTCTCGTTCAGGATCGTCTTCCTTGTTTGGGTCGATCCATGGAGATTTATGTATTGTTCATGAATCTTCATCTCCTGGGTAATTTTTGACAGAAAATTTCTTTAAAATATTTTTTAGAAGTATAAACGACAATGGAAATCGTTTATCCCTGTCCTCTCATCGATTATGTTCTATTTCTTCTTGTTCAACTTCAGCTCCTTCTCCTCCAATAAATGTTAATTGTAAAAATGAGGAAAATCAACAAAAACAATCCCAACAACAACAACTCCCCTTAACTAGTCCAGTTTCTAATCAACAAGCTAGATCTGATAGTATTGGTTCTAGCCATTCAATAACCCGTTCATTACCTGGCGGTAGTGGAAGTATTGGTGCAAATAGTGTTGGGAATAAACAACAAAGAACACGAAAGAAACAATCACCTTCCGGTATTGTTTATTACTTTCAGTTCATTTCTATTCCTCTCTCAATTAAAAAAATTTAAATTTAATAGTTCAAAATAATCATAATTTTATTTAAATATTTATTTTTAATTTTTTAATTTTCCCTTCTTTTAAGACGAACATTTAAACAACGTTAATAGTTTAGATGAAGATCTTGTTGAGTTAGATTTTGCCCAAAACTCAATGATTTGCACTACTCCATCTTCCGCATCAACTTCAACTGTTGGAGTACCTCCATCTTTCTTTGGTAATCGTTCAGCCCAATGTGTTGCAACAATTCCTACTTCTGGCCTTTCAAGGAATTCATTGAGGCATAAAAAATCTTTTATAATTTTTTATTAATAAAATTTTTTTTCAGAGCCAGAACAAATAGTTGTGATGATTATACATGTACTGATATCTATTCTGTTCCTTCTCACTACCAACACCATAATAATTCTCAACAGACTCAATGTCGTTGTGGATATACAGGAGGTAGTCACAGTGCTCTGTCTTCTAATTGTGTTGGAGCCTCTTCAGGAGGAAATGCTTCCTTAACTAGGGGAAGTGCTGGAGCTTTAAATTTCCATCCTCAACAGTGTATTCGCCCCTCTGAATCATTTATTCGTTCAATTCGCCAACAACAACGAGAACTTCAACGTACTAGACAACAGCAACAACAACAACGTATAAGAATAAAGTAAATATTTTGGAAATTTAATTCAAAAAAATATTTTCTTTTCAAAGGAATTCTGCTTTTCCTTTACAAGAAGTTCAATGTTTTATTGCCCCATCTGAGAAAGAAAAAATTGATGCAATGACTGCAAGAGATACCCTTTCACTTCGTTCTCAACGTAGTGGAAGTGGAAGTTGTTCTCAACATTTTGAAACAATTAATGAATGTGTTGGAATACAAAATGATGGAATTACTTTTAGGTAGAAAGATAGGGGAGGGGGTTTTGGGAATAATTTGATACTGGGTTCGCCAATTAAAGTAAAAGATTTTTTATTACACAAGGGGAGGGCATAATTCTCTAATCACAAATATGTACATTCTGGAAAATTAAAAAAATTATATAATACGGCTGTTTTGCCTTCTTGTATTTTAAAGTGATTAAAGGCAATTTCCCATTCTACGAACTCTTAGATAAGATAATACATATTTAATTTTTTTATTATTCAAAAACTTATTTACCCTTGAAATATTTAAAATATTTCAGAAATTCATCATCTCGTGGAAGTGCTTCATCTGCTGTAGAAACACAACCGCCAAGTATTGGTGATGATGAAGAAATAATTGAAGAAGCAGAAAATACTGCAACATAGTTTCAATTTTACAAAACCAAAAAACAAACTTTTTTCACAAAATACCAAAATATATTTTGTTTTTTATTTCTTTCATTCTAATTAATTTTATTTTTCTCTCCTTTCTTAATTTATATAATATTTTTTGTTTTGTTTATAATAATTATTTAGTATTTCCAAAATAGTCTGTATTTTATTATGTTTTTATTTTTTTAATTATCTTTTAAATAAAAATTATTTATGAAAAAGCGTTCATTTTATTTAAAAGTTCAAACAAATATTTAAAGCAAATGAAAGAACATTGGTTGCAAATAATTAAAAGCCTAAAAACATGAATAGCTAAAAAATATTTTTTAATTGTTTTACTTATATAATCGAATGTCTAATACTGTAAGGATAATTTACCTAGAGGTTAAATGATCTACAAGCATTAGTCTTCGCCCCGGTAGCTCAGTCGTATAGCTCAATGGTGAGCGAAAGCGCCTAGCAATACATAACTGTCAGGAAGTCGCAGGTTCGAACTCTGCACGGTGGCTAAACTTTTGCTAAACTCTTTCTATACTTCATAAATTGATAAATTATTTGTGTGAAAATCACACCCTGAAAATTTCTTGCTGTTTATCTTTTGTCTAAATTATCCCACCCTTTTTTCCAAAAAATATTACAAAACCGGATTATGTAATAAAAATTAAATATTCTCTACTAATAAAATAATTTAAAAAATCGTTATCTATTTATTAACCATTTTTTAAACTAAAACTTCATAAGGATTTTCTACAACTTTTTTCTTCTTTTTATCTTTTTTCTTTCCATCCTTTTTCTTCAATTCTTTCTTCTTATCTTCCTTTTTCTTTATTTCTTTTTTATTTTTTGTATCCTTTTTTGGCGAATTTTTTAATTTTATTTTATTTGAGGAATTATTATTATTATTCATTTCTCCTCCTTCAACATAACTATTATTTGAAGTGGTTGAAGTCCCCATACTTTCCACTGATTTATTTTTACCAAGAGTTCTCTCATCGCTACTTGGAGTTAATTGTTTGTCATAATAACCCTCTTCAATATTTCCATCTTCCTCTTCTTCCTCATCTTCCGTTACAGCAAATGATGTTTGTTTACTTAGCTTTCTAGCGGATCTCTAAAAAGAGGAAGGAAATAATTTACCAACTTTTTAAAAATTAAACGCAGGGAAATAAAAATTATAAATTTACAGTGGAAATTAAGATTAGATTTAAAGCTGAAGACTGAGGGGAATATAAATGTGTCTAAATAATAAGATCCCCTCTCTCTCTTTCTCTCTCTCTCCCGACCCGACCCCTCCTCTCCTTTTATTTAAATCTGTTTTTATAAAAATTATTAGAATACCGCAGAAAATGGCTCTGCCGTTACTTTTCTTGTTTTAGGTGATTGATATGCCAAATTTAAAGACCCCAAAGATGTATTTCTTTCACTTTTTGCTGCCTGTACTTTAGCATCCAATGCCGAAGCTCTAATACTTAAAGAAGTTAAAGAAGAAGCAGATTTCCGCATTTGTGAATGTTTTGGTGTTGTTGTAAATGAAGAAGGGATTCCTTTAGATGTTGATCTTTTTTGTTGTTGTTCTAAATCATCCTCTTCGATGTCAAAATCAATTGTGTTTCGACGAAGGCGACGACGGCAAACAATAGTAAAAATGCGAAAAGCGAAGACAAAAAGCTTTGAAAATAATTTTTATTTAAAATATTTAAAGGAATTTGGTTAAAAATTTCAAAGATAATCAAAAACAAAGGGAATTTCAACTCTATACAATTTACTTATTTTTAATTAATATTTAATTAAAAAAATATTTTCATTACAAAAACTATACCTCAAATAATGTAAGAATACTAGCACCTAACCACAATCCAGCTTGCCCACCAATATCAGAAATAAAATTAACAAACATATAAGATTCGCTTTCTGTAAGTACTTCATGTGACATTTGTTCATAATATATTTCAAGCATTGCAGCAGAATCACTAAAAAGAGATTTTTTTTAATTAATACAGTTCTATATTTTGACATACGCATCAAATTCTGTTTTGCATTCCCTTTTACCCGAACATTGAAAACTACGAAAGGCTTCAGAGATTAGACGTGCAGAAGAAAATGCTGTTGTGTAAACATCTAAATATTTAAAGAATTTTAATTTAAATATTTTTGGCCCTATCTGTATAGATGTGTTTCCAGGTTCCACGAACGTGTTTCCGGGCTCCACGAACAGGTTCACGGAACCGCTTTTCTTTCTCCTAATTAATGTAATTAACCCTCTAGTATGACCTCTAAGAAATAATTATCCTCACACTCAAATGCCCTACTGCACATTAAATTTCAAAACTCGTGTAATTACCCATTTAAGGTCCATGGTTACCCACTCCTTTCCTTCTTTTAAATTTTTAAAATATATTCCTACCATGAACACATGGATGTTTGCAATGGCATTGTTGAGCACGAGTAAATCTTATACTTTCCACCAAAAGGCAATTACTGTCAAGAGCATTAGAACTATTACAAACCTTCAAAAATAAACAAAAAATATATTTTAAATATTTAAACTTTAGTATTATCATCTGGTTGGGGATATCTTGGATCAGAACATCCACACCTTCTAATTATTTGATGCTTAATTAAATTAAAATTAAAAATTAATTTAATTAAATTACTTGATAACAACTTTTATAACAACCCTCAGGTTCATATTTGTGATCTGAGTAGATATAACCTTCGGGTTTAGGCTCCCCAGGCATTAAACAAATACCACGAGGAATAGGCAGTCGATTTACTTTTCTCTTAATATTTTTAAAAATTTATTTTTATTTATTTTTTAATTTTTTACTAAAGATATGCCGAAAGAGGAAAGTTGATTTGTTGGCTAAAATAATTTTATTTGATTATGCGTCGATAAAATATATCAACTAACGGCAGAGTATCCAAAAGCATCTGGAAAGGGATGCTCATCTTGACTGTGAATAACTATGTGAACACCAGCTTAAAAAATAATTATTTAATTTTTTTAAAATACTTTTATTTTTTTATTTTAAAATACTTTTTATTTTAAAATACTTTTAATTTTTTTAAAATACTTTTATACCTAAATACACATCTAGTTAGGTCCATATATAAATATATCTCACAAAATAAGGGTATCACTTAGCTTTCTCTACTAAACTAGCTAAACAAATTTTTAAAAAAATTTTGTAAATTGAAATTGTCTAAATAGTTAAGTCAGACTGTATCTAAATTAATTTTCAATTTATTTACATGCTTGCGTTGTAGGTAAATAATCTGAGGTGTTAATGTGTACAAGTAATCTAAGTCCTTTAAAAAATTTTTTTTCAAATTTGTATCAAAAATTCAAAAACCATATGAAGGCCCAGCTCGACTACTAACCTAAAAATAAAAATTATTTTAATAAAAAATCCTTTTTCTAAAAACCAAAGGATTTGATTTATTAGCATTAAACATATAACAATTTCCAAATGCTGGATCAGCATGTAATTTAAAATCTAATTAAAAAATATTTGAAAATTAAATTTTTCTAAAAGAATCTAATAACCATGATTTATATTACATTGTTGTCCATTAAATGAACACATTTTAATAAATTCACTTCTTCCATATGAAAGTGATTTTCTTTGTTCTTTATGAAGACTTGCCATTGCCAATACAAGTCTTTTTTAATATAAATTAGGTAAATTTAATTTTAAATTTACTTTTCTCTCGTTTTTGTTGTAATAGCAACTTCATCCGTCATATTTTCATAACCTAATTCTTTTAATTGGTTAAGAAAATCTGTCCGAAAAGGAGAATCTTCTGTAGGTATTTTATCTCCACGGACTTCCCACATTCTTTTTAATCTTTCTGGTCGAATCAAACAATAATTAACACTCTTTTAATTTAAAAATATAAATTTAAAAAATAATTAGTAAATTACCTTTTGGCATATACAAGGTACTGTATTTGAAGTATTTGTATTTGGTAAAGTACAATATCCAATATCTTTATTTTGAATTTATTTTTTAATTAAAAATTTATTTAATTAAGAGATTTTTCAAAAATTATTTTAAATATGCCAATAATCTACTATTTTAACTTACCATTACATATTGGACACCATTCTTCAATCCAACTTCTATAAAAAAATTATTTCTTTTTTATTATCAAAAATATTTACGTTTTACTATAACAAGGCCATATACTAGAATCTTGTCTATCATAATTACAAATACATAAAGAAACATTATCCTAATATATTTTTAATTAAAAAATATTTAATTTAAAAACTTTAGGTATAGAATCTAATTGTGCACAATCATGTTTTCCAGCAGAATTAAATCCTTCTAAACATTCACAGTCTGACATTACTGGTTCAATTTGTACATGACGATGACCTCCTTTATTTTTAAATTTTAATCTACTAATCCCCTTTAATTTTTTCCAAGAGACAAACTTTCCTTTCAAAAATTATAGAAAATATACCTCTTATATTTCTACGTTCTCGAACTGCCGGTGTCTCATCTAAATAAAGATCTGCATGTTTTGAATAAGTTACTGCTTGATGATATGCTTCTAATGTCTTCAAAATAATGATTATTTAACAAAAATAATTTTTAAATTACTTCACTAATTTCGGGTACATGTCTTGCTTCTTCTCTTTTGAAAGGATTTAAATTGCAAATAGTAATAGCGGGGAATGGAACATTATCAAAACGAAGCTATATTTAAATTGAAATTAAATATTTAAAAAAAACAATTTTACTTGAACAGAAACAATCTTTTCCCTTCTTTGATATTTCTCTAAAACACCAAGAACGCTATAAATAAAAATACCAACGGACAACAAAGATATAATTATCCACATCCATTTGGCATACCATTTAGTTGCTTGAGCTGCCTATTTATAATAAAATAAATTTTAAATTAAAATTCTCTTATTCACTATTATTGCTAAATACAGAGGAAAGTAGCTAAAATTTGAATAGACGGATAAATACTTATACTTAATTGAGGTTAAGTACAAGACGATAAGGTGAATGTTAATTGAGGATAACTTAATGTCCAAAATATTTACCATAGGAATTCCGTGAGCAGTTGTTCTAGCTGCAAACCGAATTAATTCATAACGTAATTCATCTTCTGCTGCATTCTTTACTGATTGACTAACTTCCTTTACTTTAACTAAAAAATGTATTAATATTTTTTAATAATTTTATTAAATTACCGCTTAAGTCAATAATTGAGGGACTTCTACGTTTTTGTTGAATTGAATGAATACTTTCTGGGATACTACGTTGTGATGTTAATGGTAAACTTTTGCTTTGTTGTGCAGTAGATGAAATTGTTGGAGGAACTTCTGAGATTGGGCGATTCTTAAAAATCTTTTTTATTAAAATTTTATAAAAATTTCAATTTATAATAATTATTGAAATTAAATAAAAAAGGATTAAAGAGTTAAATAAAACAATAAAATAGCTGAAATATTTAGAAAGTATTTAAAAATATAAATTTGAACAAAAAATATTTCTTTCTACCCCAAATTGTTGTTCAGATAAAGTTCTCTTAAATAAACGGGCAGGTGTAGGTCCACTATATAATGGTTGGACTACAGCACCAACAACGCCTGGAGTTGAACGTTTTTGGTAGAGATTTGGACGTGCTGAAGTTGGTTGGCTCTGAGAAGGGTTTTGTTGAGGGGATTGTTGCTGTTGCTCTACTATTTGTGAATTTTTGAAAGAAAATATTGAGAATTTTATAATAAAAACAATTTATTTGGAATTTCTTAACAAATTTCCAAAACCAGATAATCTGAGAACATAATTTTTGGGCAATATCTAATTTTTATTTAAACTATATTCAAGTATATACTTTCTCCTTCAGGAGAATTAAGATTAGTATCTTCTCCTCCTTCATCTATTTCACCATAAGAATAATTTTCCTCATCACCACTCCTAATTGTTGTTGAAGTCCCGGCACGTGCAGTTGTACCTTGACTTGCTGGAGTGCCGTGTTGATCAAAAGATTCCATTTAAATAAATATAGTACTTTAATAATTAATTTAAATTGAAAAATAAATACATAATCATATTAGATAAAATACAGTTAATAAAATTAATAAATAAAATTATGTAAATTTCTGTAAAAGGACTAAAGTAGATAAGTAATTATATAAAAAGTTGCATTTTATCTTTTAATTATTTATTTATTTATTTATTTTTGAAATAATATTGAACTTTTAACTAAAAGTTTATTAAAAAAGCCAATTCTTATTTAGTTCCCAATTTAAAGGAAATGAGAAGTCGAATGGATATATTACTTTTACTATATTCTTAAAATGAATTTTGTAATTATTTTTTTGAAGACTTAAATATTTTTTTCTATCCTCCCACAATTTCCTTTTTAGAATGCCAATTTTAGTAAAAATAAAGGAATGGCATTCATTCGTGTTTGTTGCTTTTAAAAACTTTCCAAAAAAATTTTTTTGGCTTTTGACTAAATATATCTCTCCCACTTTTTATCCCCCCTCATCCCTCCTCTCTTCCTCTATCCCCCACACACATATTTATTTGGAGGTATATTCACTCAAAAAAGGTCCCCATTCCCATTTATTTAAAATGAATTGAGTTTTGGAGAAAGGAGGAAAGGTTGGCAAAAGTAAAAATAAATTGGTAAAAGAGCAAGTAAGTAAATGTTTTTAAAAGAAAATGTGTCTGTTTAAATGAATATTTAAATTAAAAAATGAGAAAAAGGAATGTTTTTGTTTTTAAATTATTATTATTATTATTTTAATTTTGTAAAATTGTGGAAAAAAAATATTTAAAAAATTATATATTTTTAATTTTAAATAAAATCACTCAATAAGGTAGTTATAATTAGGATTAGAAAAAGATAAATGAGTGAAATATGTACCCCCCCTTTCACCTCGAACTGTTATTTGATTAAACCCAAAACTGAAAGTATATTAATTAATAATTGGTAATGGGCAACCCTAAAAATTAAAAAATTAAATATTTGTTAGACAATTTGGAAAGAAAAATTGTGATCACAAAATAAGAAATATAGAAATAAATAAGCTGAGAGAATTTAATTATTTGATTATAGTTGGATTTAAGAACATTGACATATAATATTTATTAAAAATTCCATTTTGTACTTCAATATTTTACAAAATAAATTGATTTTTTGATAAAACGAAATAAAGATTTTAAAATTTAAATGGCAATAAATAAATAATTATTATTTTAAGGGTAGTAGCACTTTGCACGTATGAATAAACAAATTACAAAATGTTTTTTTATAATTTTTTAAGAAAAAAGTGAATAACCAAAAAATGAGTAAGATAAATAATTTTTTGGAGATGGATACAAGAGGAAAGGGATTTTTTTAAATTGTTTTTAAATAATTAAATTAAATATTCAAATAATTATTTTTGAACATTAGAACAAAATTTGATATGAACAACAATTAAAGATAAAAAACTGCAGATTAACTCCTCAATTCAAATAATTAAATTATTATTTTTAAATTTATTTTTTCATTTTTAAAAAAACTTTCTAACCTCTAAATCTCCATAATTTTTCCATTTTTTAGAATCATTAAAAGAAGTTGTAGTAACACTTCCCCCTCCATAACTGCTTCTACTACTTCCTCTATTTCTACGTAAAAGAGCAATTCTTTCCAATTCTCTCATTGTCATTGGACTATTTGATGAAAGACGTTGTGGAAGTGTTTTACGACGATCATTTAGACGATACATTTCTAAAATATATTTTAATAAAATTTTAATAAATATATTTTGTTAACAAATATCTAAATCTTATTATAGAAAAATTGAAGGGATATGAAGACGGAAATATTTAGAATGATGAACTAATCACCAGCTCTAACTAAGAGAACTAAGTATAACTAGTTCACAAAGAACTAATCATTTTTACCTAGAAATATAAAGATAAAATACTTTTGTAAATATAAACTCAAACTGTGTAGTAATGTTTGGGAAAAGAAAAATCCCGGGAAACGGGAGTCGGGTCGGGTCGGGATACTCGAACATCACTCGAACTGTGAACCTTTTATTTAAAGTTATTTATACATACATACAACTATTTTTAATGGAATAGAGAATTTAACTATTAAAAATATATCCATAAAGTAAAAATAAATAAAAATATTTAAACTTGAAGAAAATTTAACGTAATAAAACAATTTCTTTTATTTTTAAAAGCATATCACTTACTTGTTTTTATTTTTATTTTCTTTTGTTTTTTTAATTCCCTAAGGTCTTTTTTTGTAGAACGTTCTTTTATAAGAAAATTTTTTTTCTTGTTGAATTGGTTTTTGCATGTAGATTAACCTCAAAATAACAAATAAATAAAAATATATTTGAATATACGTATATAACTTTTTAAAATATTTTAGTTAAAAATAAAATTTTTAATATTAAATTTGCTTATCTCTATTAAAATTTGTGTATATTTTGATATTTTTTAAGAGATTTTGAAAATTTAAAAATTATTTTTTGAAAATTAGATAGTTCCTGAGATTTTTTCAATGACATTTCTGTTTAGAAATTTTTTATCTCTTGATTAAATTATCAGAATAAAAATTTTTAACTTTTGTATAAGGTCGTCTTTAGTATTCTTCAGTGTGAGTTATGTTGTAATAAATATTTATTTGGGCCCTAATTATTTAAAATCTTATAAAATTTATTTATTTATAAAAATTTAAAAAATATTTCTTTTTTGATTTCATAAAAATTTTATTTAAAAAATTGATTTATCTAAAAAGCATCAAAACACATCTATCAAAAAATTGCATGTATTTATTCGATTAATTTCATTTAAAAATATGTGCATCGAATGCCCTTTAATATTAAATATTTTTAAAAATAAATATCAGCTTTTTTCAAAAAACTAAATAATTTAAATTTATTTAAAAAATTTTTCATTTTTATTTAGAATTTAAAAATGTTGAAAACTTTAATTCCTTTTTACTTTCTTATATTTGTAAATTTTTATTCAACTGTCGAAAGTAAAAAATTCTTTCTGAATATAAAAGGAACCGTTTCAAATATGAATATTTTCCAACGTGTTTTTAATCACGAATACAGTCATTTCTGTGTTCGCATGCTTTGTGCAACAATAGAAAGAGGAGATCAAGTTATCCGAACAGAAAATTCTGAAGAATTTATTTTGGAAAATAATAATGGAATTTTTATTAAAACACCGGACAATTGTCATTTAGATTTTCCAATTAATTTTTTTATTACCCATATAGTCAATTATGGTTTGAATGGACAACATTGTTTTGCTAATGGTGGAGTTGTTGAGAAGAACAATTATACTAATTGGGTTTGTTTATATGTATATTTTTAATCATTTTATTATCTTTTATTATTTAAGCCTCAAATGAGTATGAATATTAAGAAATTTGAAAATAGAGATTATGCGGAAGGAACTATTGAGATTGTGTATTTCACTAAACATTCTCTCAAACCTGGAAAAAACTAATTCTGGAAATGTTTATAAAAAAGAAAATAAGAAAAAAAACGAAGAAAGTTGATAATCTTTAAACGTACCTATGTAAATACCAAATCACATTTTGTGTGAAATCACATTTTGTTTAAAAAACGTTAATCAGAGGATCATATATTTTACCTACATATGCAGTTGATATGCTTTTAATCTCCTCAGGAAAAAATTTTATAATTTAAGTTGCCGAAGGCACGGAAAATTCACTTTTATCAGTCTTTTCTGGATCCCAGAACAGGTTGCTTTGGTTCCAACACTGAAATGGTTCCACTTCCGGTTGCTGGCTATTCAAATTTTCGATAATCCAGGTTTTGAGAACAGATTTCCAGAACCGACGCATTACTGCTTGATCTTTCTGATTTAATTTTTCAAATATAAGAATAGATATTTAATCAAAGCTTTTTATTATCTGATTAAAAAGTTCAATTTATAAGTTTTAAAGTTTCCCCTTTAATTTCTTTATTAGAAAATACAATTTTAAAAAATTTTATAATTTAAATTATTATTCTGTCCTTAGATTTTTTTCTTAAAATTTGATCTTTGTTTGATTCGCATAAAAGTAGATTTAAAGTTTCTACAAATTTAGTATTTTTATCACCCATTACTAGTTTTAATACTAGTTTAGCAATATATCCATTACAAAATATAGCCAAGCTAAGTTTAGAACAAATAATTTTTTAGCTAGTAATAAAAAGATATTTATTACATAAATAGAAAGTAAATTAACAACTTTTTAATTTAAATAAAATTTAATAATTTTATCTACTTTAAGCTAATCATATTTCTTTAATGTATCCGCAACTCTAATATTGTTTGTGTTGAATATCCAATTTAATTTTAAATTTTTTGATAGAAAATTAAACAAATAATGCTTCAAAATTTAGAAAAACAATTTAAAAGATGTTATTATTGTTTAAACAATATGGCACATGCATTTTCAGACAGACTGTTTTGTTGGCAAAATAATTGATTTAGATTTGTGATTGGGGAAAGAGAGAGAGAGAAGGGGGAGATAAGGGGGAATGAAAATGGCAAATAAATAAATTGATTAAGATTTTATTTATCCTTTAAAAATTAAAAAATTGTTTTTAAATTTAAAATAAAAATTTCTGTTAAAAAAAGGAATATTCAATTTAATTAAATAAAATGCAACATTTATTAATTTATTTAAACATTTTATTTATTTTTTTATTTGTAAAAAAGAATAATTCTTTTAATGAAAATGAAGAACAATATGAGGAAATAAAATTAGAAAATGTTCAAATTAAAGTTCGTGAATGGCAAAGTGGAAAACAATTGGGGAATTTTACGTTAATTAAATAAATAAATATTTTAAATTTAAATATATTTTTTAGAATTCCTTCAGAAAAAAATGAAAAATATTCAAAAGGAATTAGATTAGAAGAAAAACTTGCAATTAATTTACAATTTAATATTATCGACAAAAATACTAAAAAATTAATTGAAGGTGTTTTTAAATTAATTAATTTTTTGGTTTAAA